TATATGTCGCCACAAATAGAGTGCAAGTCTGTGGGAAACACCGCTTCTGTTATGAATATTATTCAATATTTTAATTTGAATGTCGGATTGAAATGAACGCTGTTATTAGAGTAGTTAATCGTTAGCATAAGCTCGGCTAACGCTAATATAATGAGCATTAGAATTAAGTTTCTTTATTAACTATTTAATGCTCCTATAACTTTTATATTGGTAAAAAAAAAACAGGAGGACATGATGATATTTACTATTTTTACACACCAGAGGCTTTTTAAATGAATTGTGAATCTAAAATATGCGTGTTAGAGAATGTACAAATGGTTAACATTGTTTGTGTCATATCAGTCAAAAAAGCAGTTTTTTTGTTGTTGTTTTTAGCTAACTTAGTTAGTTGTTATTCTTGGCTGAATAACTCTAGAAGGTTTTAAAAGCCCTTTAAAATTAAATATGTACACAGTTTGGATTAAATGAAGTATAGTCAAATTTTTTAATTAGCATGTTTTTGTGTTTTGCTTTGGTACCGAAATTGGTACCGAGAACCGTGGATTTTCACTGGTATTGGTACCGAATACTGAAATTTTGGTACCGTGACAACACTAGTACAACACATTGTTTTAAAGCAGCTTTATAGAAAATCATGATGTTAATGTTTATATCTTAATGTCGTCATGCCTTATAGTTGCATTTAGAGTTGTGCAATAATATAGTTAAATTTTGTGGCAATGTAATCAAGCAGCTGAGATTTGCTATATTGCTATTATTAGTGGAGCTTGCGAAGTGAACCATCACTATTACTATGCTGCAGGCTTGTTATTATTTTTCTTCCGTACAAATTTCTGCGCATAACTCGTCCTGCACCATTTGTCGTAGACCCCCGAATGAGGCCTCAAATCACGCGGCTTATTGAGGAGAGGTGTGCCATGACTTTTGTAAGAAATCGGGCGTACGATGTTAGAAACATGGGGGCGGGACCATTTGACTCGGGGCAGCTAACAGCCAATCACAAATCACTGTCGACACTTCCTACCCACACCCTAGCAACCCAAACCCGAAGAGTAATATCTTCAGATCCAAATGTCATAGAAACATGGAGGTTGGTTTATATCACTCATACTGGCAAGCAGCCTTTGGAGTATCATCATTGGCAGCTGCCAAGCCACTCCCTAGCAACCGAACAGAATACCCTAGCAACCGTTTAGCAAGGCCTATGTCTCCGCTTCAGAACATCGTATAGACACGGGAGTTGGCTGTATTGACTTATGCTAGCAAACAGGACTTCCAACATGCTACACATGCTAGCAGAGAATAACTACGCGTTTAAACATGCTAAAAATCCTAGCTAATTGTTATAACATGATAAAACAGACCCGACTAATTGCCTAGTGCTGAGTTTTGCCACGGCAAGCATGACTCACATTTTCATCAGAAAATGTACATATACTGTTTAGATTAATATACTGTATGTATGCAGATAAAGTTGGATATATCCAATTTTAAAAAATGTACATAATTATAATAATTTAAATTAAAACTTTAAAAAAAATATCTTGGTAAATTTGAACTTGATAAACTGCCAAATTAAAGCCATGTGGTGCGAATAACAAGATAATTTGACATTTTTATGATAAGGCAAGGTTAGTTCAGACTGTAAAATTTCTTGTGTGATCATTATTTCAAAAACATCATGATATTTATGAATTAATAATTCATGACATTTGTGTAAAACACTTTTTACCATGGAAAATATGTTTTAAAATGATTTGAAAATAATGATTAAGAGTAGATGTCTTAATCTAACACATATTTTATATGTAAATAAAATATCACAATGCTTTTTACTTGTTGGTCACACCACATCACATTTTAAGAGGCATTAAATGTAATCTTTTCTTAAAAATTATGTTTTTTAAAACCACATATAATATATTATAATAATATGATCATATGAACACAAAGAGCACATTTCTAAGAACATGGCACGTGTGTTTTAAACTATATCTTTTCTTATCTTGAACAGAAGGTCCACCTGGAAACAATGCTGAGTTTCCATACTACATCAGATGAAGCACAGACAGCCAATGCAAAACAAAACAAAACAAAGCATTGTCAAACAAACTATAAATTGCACGTCTTTTGAAGAAGCTGTTTATGTTTTTACTCCAGTATCATCCTTGAATAATGTCATTGCTTATACAAAAAACCTCCTGAAACGACAGACGCGAGCAAACAGTTCCTTTCGGCAGGTTCTTTCCTGATTGAAGGTTAATGGTTGTTTACTGAGCAGGAGTTAGAATGAGTCCAGACAGAGCTGCTTTATTATGGCCAGCGGCTCCACGACACACATCAGTCCGAACGCAGAGACCACCAGACTTCAGCTCTTTAACGTGAGCCCGCGGTTAACACTGGCTGCTGTTCAGTGAGGTAGAGCGGCCGTTAACTGAGCATTAACCGGGGCATCAGGCTGAAACCTTTGTCTCTGATAAATATAGATTCACAGGACCAAGTGAGCAAATCCCTGTATCAATGCTACAAGCCATGCACAAGGCCCAATCAAACTCCCTGCTGTTTTCTGTCAACTTCTGACTGATCCCGCAGTCTGCTGCAAATGCCTGTGCTCAGTGTCACTGAAAGCAGTGCCGGGAATCGATTCGGGACAAGCGCTCCTCAACAGAGCCAAACCCCAGCAGCATGCTGGATATGAGAGTAACTGACACACAAACTAGAATATAAGACAATGCTTCTCATTAGATGGTTAAAATGTGCACAACTGAAGTAGCTGATGCAATTCATTTCATCAACATCATTTAAGTCTACATTTAGATGAACGTATAAGGGAAGTTTACACAGTAAAAATGATCGTGATTTCAATGGCAAAAGACTGTTAAAATGCCGTGATAAAAAAATGATAGATCTAACTGGACATGTCAAGTAGTTTTAGAGTAAAACGCTGCTAAATTTACAGTTTATTTTATATATATATATACTTTTTTTTTTTACATTGCCAGAATTCTTTGTGTGACAGCTAACATTTCATGATTTTTCCTTCAAATAAATTTATATTAATTCATTTGTAGCAGGTGATTTTAAGGTGGTTGTCAGTATATTATAAAGGTAAAAAAGTTTTTTCAGTTAATTAAATATACAGGTTTATTACTGTAAAATGAATTTAAATCTGTAAAACTTAAAATGTTGCTACCATATCTTTTACAGCAAAGTTCTGGAAACCATCGCTACCATTTTTTACCATAAATTCAGAGTTTCAATTCATGCATATTTTGTCACCAAGTTTTTTTAACCATTATTTATTCCCTTTTGCCTTCATTACTTAATGATGTGGTCAGATGGCGTGACAAACAAATTTAGATGCAGCATATCACACCGCAAGACATGTCAACTTCCTAAAAGTTTCCTTTAATTATCTACATTCACTGGTTATGAAACACTATCTGACCCAAGAGAGTAACTAAATTAACTTTTTTTTTTTTTTGGTCATGATTAAATCACAAAAATCTTCAGTCTGGCTTGAGAAGAAGCCAGTGTTTTTCTTATTTGCAGTCATAAACAACAAAACAATAAAACAACAAATATGTTAATAGCACAACTCATAATGCCTTCTACTGTACAGATTATACATCTGTGGCACAAGTGGATATGAGTCATAAAACATGCAGGTGCATCAGGCAGACAGATGTGTCGTAACTCTCTGAACGAGTCCTACCATAGTCAGTGACTCCAGAGATAGCAGCCCATGCTATAATGAGCACATCATTACACTGAGAAACAACATGCATGAATGTGTCTGTGAGAATCAGAGCTTTATAATCAACACTACCTGCATTGACGTTATGTTACAATTTATGAGAGAATAAGCTGGCATATTGATTCATCCGCATCTAAGTGCTTATGACAAAGTGTCTCTCTCTTCTCTGACAGGCCAGTATAATGATGGCAGTGATGAGGTGAAATACCATTACTGTAGCTGCAGACGCAATATGTGCTGTACAGTAAGGAGCTCTGATCTCTGAGCTCTGAGGCGTGATGCCTTAGCTTTGCAAAAGCCTTTGAAATGTAAATGCTGTACATATCAAAGGTTGGGAAGTTATTTGGAAAAGAAACAGCCAACCCACAGCAAAACGACTAACAGAGATAGATACATAAAATCAGATCACAGCAAACCAGCTGAGTGTACATATCTACATACATACATACATAAAAAAACAAACCAAATGGGATCAAATCAGTATGCTAGTAAAATCAAATCAGATTAAACCAGACAGTTTAAAATCTTATTTTAAAATAAACAAAAATATGAAAAATATGCATTTCAGCAGGAATGCATGTATTATACATATACACATACTTTTTTTTTTTTTTTATCTCATTACATTCTACATTATAATAGATACGATTTCTCCAAAGAAACAGACAATAGCATTATAGGTTTCATAGCATTAGCTCCTGGACAGTTCACTTGTTTAAAAAAAAAAATCCAATGAAATTGAATTTCTACTATAATTTGGGATGTCTTAAAAGGCCTGTGATAATCCAACAGTGACAATTAATATGATGCCAACACACACACACACACACACACACAATCCTAATACACAACTAAAGACACTTATAGCACGTCTGATTTCATCTCAGAAGAAAAACTAAGAATAAAACAATCCACAAAACAGTTCTAAACACAATGCAGGTTATCTATAGACACAAGCTCACCCCTGCTTTGACTGAACGGAGACAACACAGTGATATTTACAGTATTTCTCCAGTGTGTTTTATTGTAGGAGGAGCGGACAGAGACAAAGGCTCAGCTAGCGCTTCATTACATATGTACATAAAACACTGTCTACAGGTTACGCGGCTCCTTAGAAACGCTACAGCACAAATCTGTCTCGAAAGACCGGGTAATAACGAAACAATGAAGTCCATCCTTGCAGTCCGATGTGAAATGAGTGAGATAGGCGTGTGTTGTGCTGTGAGACAGCGGGCGGACTCACCTCGAGCAGCGCGCACAGCGTCAGCAGCACCGCCGCTCCATGGCGCTTCATGTCGGCACCGAGGCGCAGAGTGAACCAGTGCTGTCAGGACGGAGGGTTCATAGCATTAAAGCCTGAATGTTCACAGCAGAAGCTCGAGCATGCTGAAGGCTCGCTGTGTGTGTCGCTGAGGAGAGAACAGCGCCTGCATCTCAGCTCGACTCGCGCGCGCAACAATGCATCTGATTTCCACTGGTGAAGAAAAAACAGCACGCGATATTAGCGCGCACAAACAGCCCAGGGCTTCTTTCTTATCATCCTCCCAATCCAAAACTAGGGCTTTACTGGAACAATCGAGCGCTTATTTATCATTTATTTTAAATATAGCCTGGTACATACTTGGTATCATACCTAAAGCAATATTCACTAAAGGAAGTTTATTAAAGGAAATTATACTTTACAGTATACGCTATTTGTTTATAATATTGACTAAATTCACTTACAGCATTTATATGCATTTATAGTCTTTCTCTTCTGGGAAAATTTGCCAAAATACTGATGACTCATCCAGCACTTCAGAGTTTTGTCCAATTGAATGCTCTGAATGAGAAAGTACCTCCCCATAGTGCCACCTGTATCTGATTATGCTGTGCTTAATGCTGCCGTCATGTGCCATCGACAATTTCCTTCTTACCATTTTTGAAGTGGTAATTATGAGTTTGTCATGTTCTAGTGCTTTGTTGTCTGAAAGAACAGAAATCATGGAGGCTGGCTCATTCATGGGTTGATTCTTGCCTGTTTTTTGGGGAAATCTTATTAAAGCCAGATATTTAGTCAGTGTTCAGCAGGTTTTGAATAAAATGTAGCGTCCCATTCATTGGTAACTATATAAATATTTACCGCATCTAGATATTCAGCTTGCTGATGATTCTGCAGTATCGGTCAAATAAGTGCTGCTGTGTTCAATGCATACAATAAGCATTAAATGGTTATATACTGTATATATATATATATATATATAGGGAATATGAGCAATATCACAGAGTAGCAGTGCGATATGGCTGTATATCGGCACGGCTGTGATTCGGCTGTAGGTAATCATATCTGTGCTGATATACAACCATATTGCACGGCTATATGAGTGTGATATTGCATTTATACAACAGTTCAATGGCATGAGTGTGTATAAGAAACAACACCGGAGTGTCTTTAAAAACAATCTTCTGTGCATTACTACTTCCTTCCGCCACAGATTCAGATCTCAGTTTGACAGTGTAACAGCTGAGCTCAAGATCCATTACTAATTCAAAAAAGTTTTAAGGGTGATTTCCGATGACAGCGCTGATCAGTGCATTTGTTAACTGCGTCTTACAAGCTGTTGTTGAAAGTCAAAAATAACTTCCATTTCAGTCTCATTCAATATAAAAGTCTCTTGTCGCATGTAATGGAGGAATAATGTAACTAAAATCACCAGCACAAACACACACTGTTTCTCAATACTAAATACTATAATTAAATGCTACTATTATTTATATAAAATATTATTTATTGAATAATAATATTTAATAAACAACAACAGCCATCATAAAAATTGCTAAGCAATTCAGCCAAAAGAACAAAGGCAGCGCTCTGATATACAGCATTAAAGTTATATAAAATATAACGTGATGAGATTTTGCCCTCAGCCAAAACTATTTACTCTGTAACAAATAATATATTAATGAGTCCAAAGACTGTCCGTTAGAATTACCCAAAATGAATTATATCACGTGCTTAACCACTATAGAGACATCAGAGCCAGCTGTGATTTCCAGCAGATCTGGCCGAGGTGAAGCTGCTCTCGGCGGGTTCATGAGCGCTGAACGGCCGCTGACGCCCTGGAGCTCACATCTCCCAAAACATCGAGATACATTTTCAAATAGATGTTATCTTTATTAACAAACCGCATATTTGAAGTCTAAACATTCTCGCCTAAAAACTCTCCAAACTACATTCCGTGACACAAAAACAGTATTATTTATAAAATGATAGTGGATTTGGGCGTCCGCCGTGACACTCGCTGTGAGAAATACCTGCATGCGGAGTCGTACAAACGGTGAAACGGTTAGAGTGCTGTTATCACTAGAATATAGCACCGCTAGAAAAGGCTGCACTCTCAGCCAATTAGATTCGAGGACCGGAAAAAACTGTTGTATAAATGTGAATATACATGACTGTGATGACAAGAGAAAGCAATGTAGAAGATGTTGGAAAAACAAATAACAACAATAAAAAACAAATAAAACCAGTACTACAGCAATGTTTCTCTCCACCTCCATGTTTGAAGTTTATGGATCTTTTTTTTTGGGGGGGGGTAGCCAGGGTAAAAACCATGGTTATGAAACATGCATTGTCAAACTGTTGGATAATGTCCTGTAGAAATTAACAGCACCCTATTTGTTTTCTACAGATTTTTTTTCTTACAGTATTGTTATTTTCCTGTTTGCTATTGATTATTACATTTATTTTTTTCCCTTTATTTTTGTGAAACATCAATCCACTTTTTTTAATGTTCTGTTCTCTGTACCTTCTTGAAATATATTTAATCTTGTATGCATTTAACAGGTCTTACTTAACATTTATCTTCACACACACGATACACAATACAATTTATCTTTACATGTTATCTTCTGCACCCAGTCTTAAAGTTACTTTTGCAACTTTAGTTAAATTTCAAGGAATAATTGAACCCTTTACCAGTATTCATGCTATTATCTGCTTCAAGTGTGATGGTGATCTTTAATGAAATGACACAGAATCAGCATCTGTCTGAGGTTTATTTGTCCTCCCCTGTGCATTTACCAATGTCCGTTGCCATGGCAGCAGTTTTTATAAAAACAAAGAAGAGGACAGAGAGAGAGAGAGAGAGAGCTAGTGTTTGTTTCAGGGTGTTGTTCTTTCACTTAATTGGGTAGCCTCACTAATGACTAAGGCTCTAATGAGTTGAGATGATGAATTGAAGTCCACCTAGACTGTCTTGTTATGTTGCCATGAGTTTGTGAAGAGAAACTGGGGGAATCCAATTAGTTCTGCGGGCCGTGACTCAAGCTGAATGTCCTCACTGTCTGTCATCGTCTGTCCATGAAACTCAATTGCACTTTCCCTGCTTTGGTTCGCTGAACAAGGGATGATGTAATATGATGGATGGCTTCTTGCAATGCTGTCTTTCAAAATATGTGAGAAGTGAGCGCCCTGAAATGTTAATAAATGTTGTAAAAATCTTCATAAATGTTATTACAGTAGCTTTATTTGTGTGTAATATTAATTCAGCATTATTTATATTAATGCATTTTCAAAAATGCCTGTATGGAGACATTTATAGAAGAAAACACTGACTCACATACAAAATATTCTGAATATTCATTACAACAGCATTTTTGCTCATGTGATATAGTTTTATTATTAAATATTCAGCAGCCACATCAAGCTGTAAGGATATTTCTCACAAACTCTTCACAATCACGCAGTAGGATTGCCAAAAACAGAGGTGCTTGACATTAGGAAACTCTAGCAGCTGGAGACAGCGGGACGGAGGCAATAATCACAGCAGCACGAGAACAACACAGCACGACAGGACACAGCTAACAGCCTGCGGGATTTACAAATCCTGACAGACAAGAAAAAACTGGCAACCCAGCACTGATCATAGAAATGGAACTAGCAGTGGAGATAAATGAGGCATTCCCAACTTAAAGGGACAGTTCTGCTTCCCAGATTTCAGCCAAAAGGGACCCACGTCCAATATTGTTTTGGACCTCATACTGTAAAAAATTATTGTAATTTTATCAATAAAAACATTGTTATTTGGTCAATTGGTTAACAATAAGTTCCTTTACCATATACAGTGAAAGACTGTGATAAATCTAATGGGAGATTTCATTTAATTGCAACTGTATGTTTTACAGTGAAGTTCTGGCAACCACACTTTTTTTTTTTGCGTAAATTTCACAGATTTTTTTTTTTATTATAGTGCATGGACTTTCATTGTATGGAAGCAAACAGTTGAGACATTCTTAAAAAACAATCATCATCTTTCTTTAGTGTTCTGCAGAATAATAATTAAAAAAAAGTAATAAGGGCTTAAAACGACACTGAATTAGGTTTTATTTTTGTATATATTTATTTTTCATTTTGATATTAGTTTTAGTCATTTTGTTATCTGCTTTTGTTTTTTAATATTTCTATGTAGCTAATTTTATTTCAGTTTTAGTCATTTTAGTACTCCAACTTGAACTTAATTCAATTACAGTTTTTCAGTATTTATAATTTATATATTTTTTGTCTGTTAACAAAAACAATTTTTAAAGTGCACATATCATGCCCATTTTATGCCCAGTTCATAATTTTATTTTTGGGGACTGCTAGAATACATTTCCGTAATTTAAAGTTGAAAAAACTTTATTTTCCCTTTAACTTTACCTCATTTCACTCTCCTGTGTAATGAGGAGTCAATGGGACTGGGACCTGAAACTCTCTTTAAATCTCTTATTCTCTTATCTATTAAAGTCTCTTTAAAGCCCCGCCTTTCAGAAATGCCTAGTCTGCTCTGACTGGTCAATTGATCCAGTCTGTTTTGATTGGTCAACAGCTTAGAGTGTGTTGGAAATGTAAACCTTTTATTGTAAGTGAGTTTCAGCAGTATTATAATTATGATGTGGCTATTGGAAGACCATTCAGTTTTTTTTTGCCTTCTAAAAAACAGCATCTTGACATAGCGAAATCACTTACCCAACTGTTGTTTGATGTTGTTTGACACAAAAATGTAACATGGTGATGTAGGTAAGTCACAGAAATAATGGCATGACTACAAATGGGGGGTTTCAGGAAAGTGTTTTTTGTTGGACAGATTAACTCCCATTGCTTTGGACTTTGTGCATTGTCACTTTACAGATCGTTTGCATGCACAAACAGCTATATCACACACTAAAGGAAAGGTAAAATAAAAAAGAAAAGCATAATCGGTGCTCTTTAAAAGTTTTAGTTAATGATAACAACACTGGTACGGAATTTTGGCCGAACCTTAGAGCCATGGCACAGCAGTCATCGTCCTGTATATGATTCTGATATATTGAGCTTTCAAGTTTTCAAACTGAGAAGAGCCAGAGCCCCGGTCCCCATCATGTGCACCTTCTACAGAGGCACCATCGAGAGCATTCTGAGTAGCTGCATCTCTGTGTGGTATGGCGCCTGCAACGCGTCCTGCCGCAAGATGCATGTAAAACTGACATCTTAAAGATGTCTATCAGATGTTTGTACACAGCAGATGCTTTCCAGATGAAGCGATCTTTAACAGACGTACCTGTGCTATCTGGGTATTAGCATGCTTAATAAATCTGTTCCACGGCTTTTACCACAAAATCAGCAGAACTAGACATATAAAGGATATGTTTCAGTAATCATACAAAAATAATATTAGGAGTTAGTTAGAACGCTTATTTTCACTTACCAGTAAACGCTAACGAGAGTCGGTAACCATAGCAACAGAAAACCGCTCCCGCATTGTGATTGCGATACAGCGCTAAAACATTTACTCTACGCGATTCGGTTAAAAAGACAGCTGTCCTTTTTTGTAAGATCTGACTCTACATTTTTATTTTATTTTGATAGGACAGTATAGGTCGACAGGATAGTGAGACAGGAAGCGAGGGGGGGATGGGATGGGGAAAGGTCCGCGAGCCAGGACTCGAACACGGGACACCCGAAGCGCAATGGCGCTACATGTCGACGCGCTGCCCATGAGGCTATCAGTGACGACAGTTTGTGGTGTTTATCTGCCCATAATTTCCTGTCAAAATTGAACCAAAAAATTAAAATAAACACAAAAATGAGGAGTCTATAGTTTCATTGGTACTGTAGGCAGCATTCCTTACTGTATTCTGTATTACTGTATTCCTTCATCTGTCCAGCTGGTTTGCTAAAACCTTATCTGCAGTCAGAGCACAGAGTTCCTTCATACTGCCAATGCAAGAAATGCGAACATTTAACCTTTGAACGAGGCCTTCACATAGCTACCAGCTTAAGTTGAGATGGGAACCTGGAGCCAAGCTGATGATATAGAGTATTAAAGTAAAAATGCAAAATGTCACAAAATGACATTACTAAAAGATAAACCAAGGCTTGACATTTTCTTAAACATCAAATCAGCAGATACAGCACTATTTCTCAGTCACTCTTCCCTCTCTTACTTCTCCTTTCCTGATATAAGTAATGCTACAGGCACTATGCTCCACTTTAACATACTGTCTAGACAACATCTGTCCTCTCATTCAGGTCACCCTCTAACCCCCGACACCAAACCAAACAAACAAGTTGCTGCTTGTTAAAAGCTCCTGTGCTATCCTGAGCAGGTATCAATGCTCTGTATTTTTCTGCCAGTTTCCCCACTGCAAAAGCATCAGTTATCACAAGAGCAACAGTATTTCAGAAGACTTTCACCTCTGTCCTCCTCCACCCTCTTTATGACAGCTAATGACTTTGACACTTTTTCACAAACAACATTCATAAACAGTGAATTCTCAGCATCACAGTCTAACGAACACCGACCACCCACATGAAAGTTTCACTCACAGAGGATGAGGTCTCTAAACATCTCCTCTCCAGCCATGCTATAATCTGCCCCCTTGACCCTATTCCTTTCAAGCCATTTCTTCTAGACTGCTACCTGCCCTTACACACATCATCAACCCACCACTCCATCGCTGGCACTTTCAAAAGTAACCTACGCTAAACCATATATTCATAAGAAATTACAGATCAATGCCTCTCCTCTCATTCATAGTGTCAACACTTGTGTGAGTTAATTGCAGCCAGAACTTTGTATTTGTCTCACAGATCAACCAGCAAAACATCAATCAGTCAGGTTTCCAGCCCAGCAAATTGTCAAGAGTGTTTCTACAAAAGGATCAGCCTGATTTTTGCTAGATCAATCTGCATCCTTCCACATAGTTAACCCCTAGATCCTCCTCTTAAACCTCTCCACACTGGGCATCACAAGGTTTGAGTCCTACATCACAGGTAGATCCTTCGGGGGAGGGGACTTGTATCTATTTCATTTAAATAGCCATGGGGGTACCACAGGGTTCGGTGCTGGGCCCCCTCTTCTTCTAGACATATTCACTGGAATTCTCAAAAGGAATCACACTCTGGTAACAGTACAGCCACAACTTCAATGGTTGTAAAGACAAACATATTTATGTTTGCTGTATTAGTAATGTTATTAACTTATGTAAATTAGCTGTTGCTCTACTGTGGCTAAATGTAAATATTCTGTTCTGAAGTGGAATGGATATTTCTGCATCCCTTCATTGTAATACAGTCGGATCCAGTGCATCATGAAATTGATGCCATATGCTTACAAAAACAGAACTGGCATTCTCTAAATTTGCAGAAAATACATGTAATCTCATTTGAATGAAATTAGCACAGAAGCACAGATGTATAATGGGGTAAAATCATCAATAAAAGAAGCCCAATCTAATGAAGTCCAATTTTTCCATGAATGTTTGAACATGGTTCAGTCCATTAACAGACTGGTTATTGACCAGGGCATCCCTTATAAGAGGAAACACATTACAGGACAATAGAGAGGTCTGGGAATACAGATAATGGCCAGGACAACATCATTACTGCTGCTTTATGATAATAAATGATAATAACTTTGTATGACGGCATAATTTATGTGTTTACAAGCACATATAATACAATGAACCTACAGTACTAATACCATTCACATGATCTAGTATCATTCTTTAATGAAATATCTAATAATATTCATCTATGTGCAGTAGGGCACTAAACAAACGAAGCAACATATAGTCTTCTAATGGCCTGCCAATATAATTGCACACATGCATCTGTTGTCATAAGGGAATGTGGGGGACATTCTAGAATGCATTCCCGTAGTGTGCTGACTCAGGCTCCTCAGGGATTCGGAATATTGCGACAGCATGCAGAGAAGCTGACGCAGCGCACTGTTGCCGCAAGTTACAACTAAAAAGCCATTAGTGGAAACAGAAATCTATTTCCAATCTGCCTCCACAGGGAAAGAAACAGCCTGTCCAACAACCTGTGGCTCCTGATTTATCTCCAACATGTGGAAGGTATTCAGCATATTGAAAGAAACTCTAATACATTCATAAACTGAATGACTCCTTCAGTAATGAAAGTATAATAAAAAAAACTCATTGTTAGTTTTTCAATATACATCAATTTCAATCATTTAGATAAAGTTTAAGAAAACAAATTGTGATAGTTTTGTATGTAAATTACACTTGTATATCAATATTACAATGTTCAGTTCCTTGTCACTACAATACCCCCATTCTTACATTTGCGTTTTTAATAGTTTTTATGACTTTATAGAAATATATAATTTTTTATATAATTTTTTAAAAAATTATGAAAAATGTAATAAAGAAAAAAAAAACTTTTCACTGGCAGTATGTTCACAGATCATGTGTACTTGCTGTCTGTAAATAAAATAAAATAAAATAAAATAAAATAAAATAAAATAAAATAAAATAAAATAAAATAAAATAAAATAAAATAAAATAAAATAAAATAAAATAAAATAAAATAAAATAAAATAAAATAAAATAAAATAAAATAAAAAAACAAAATAAAATAAAATATAAAATAAAATAGTCAGGAACAACTAGGCTAGGGGATTTAATTATTCCATGTATTAATGGAAAACTACACTAAAATAAAATTAAATAAAATAAAAAAAACTGAATACCATAATACTTTTTGTATTATGGTATTAACTTTCTTTTTTTCCACGAGTGTTACTGAGAATAAGTAAAATCCCTAAGCAATAATATTCAGCAGCAGTGAAATGAAGAGCTCAGATCTGCATGTAACACCTGATCAGAGTTCATCGCTAGAGATGCAGGACTTCAGACTCCCAAATCTAGCTGGCTGTTTTAGTGGCTCACACAACAGCTCCACTAGGATCCAGCAATCATTTCTGTATAAATCTGACAGCTTAGGTATATGACGTGTCGTACAGAATGGAGAGGCCTATTTCCATACGCACACAGAGTGGCTGACGCAAACACTTTGAAGCAAAAGCATTTTGAGATGACTCTAAATCTCAATTTAAAAGCATTTCCCCTGCTTCCACTGTAAGCGATCTATCATTTTCTTTCATTCCCAGTGTAACGCCCCCTTCTTGTCAATGGGAATTTTATATCCTAGCATGCAGAAAGTTAGAATCATTCAACTGAGTCAGGCATTTTACACTGACAAAGTCTCAAAGCTTCTAATATAGGCAACACATTAAAAATGTATTTGTTGTCAAGAGGAACAGGAAATTATTCAGTACTTCATTTTAAACAACAAAACACCACATTATGAAAGTATTTTATTTATAGGTAACTATTTCATAATGCATGAAATGCTTCACAGCGAGTCGTGCTGAACATGTTGTCGAGTGTACAGTATATTGGTGGGGGTCCTTCGATATAAATCACTTTCCAGTCCCATGAAGTGAAGTGGCAGTGTCACCTTTAATACAGTAACGCCATTAACATCCCATTAGATGATTGTGCTCACCGTGTAATAAGTGATCGCGGTCAAAGAGGAACCACCTCATCAGTCTTCATGCTGGAGATCCTGCCAGGCTTTCTGTCCATCCTGATACAGAACCAGGTCAGAATTTAAAGTAGAATCTTTAATGGATAATACTATAATAATATCAAAGATAAAAACGGCATAAGCATATAATATTATTATTACAACACTTTCATCATGTCCGGGCTCAGGTTATTCATCAAGGACACATTAAATTGATCAAAAGTGACAGTAAATACATTTATAATTAATTAATTATAATATATAATTTTTGCGTTACAAAAGATTCTATTTCAAATAAATGCTGTTCTTCTGAACTTTCTGTTCATCTGTGAATCCTGAAAAATAAAATGTATCACAGTTTCCACAAAAATAATAAGCTGTTTTCAACATTTATAATAATCAGAAATGTTTCTTGAGCAGCAAATCAGCATATTAGAATGATTTCTGAAGTCTGTCAAAGATTTATTCATCTGAACATATCACTGATTACAGAGAAAAAAAATATTATATACATTAAATGTAGCTCAAAAAAGCCAAGATTTGTAATTTAATGACTTGATCTCTATAGACATACTGTATGTAACCAAATGTGTATTGTGTGTGAGTGTGAGTGTGTGTGTGGTTGCTGGCTTACAGTGAAACTGCGCTGACCATCTGTGCGGCTCACATCTGATAAGTGACCTGATGTTCATCCATGCGTGTCTTGATTGAGCAGGAGGAGACGCTCATCAGTACAGAAATCTCCCTGCCAAAACCAGAAACGACAAATGGGACACAGCCTATTGTCTTGTGGACCTTATGCAGTGGCTACTGCAAGCGCATGGACTGTAAAAAATTATTTTCTGAAGTTGTGAATAAAATAACGATTATTGGAGTACATTTTACAAGAAAACACTATTTCAGTTTTTCCCATTTATTCAATGTTACTTGTTGTTTCTTTGTAATTATGTGACATTTACAAGCAGTTTCTGAGTGAAAACCGCTTCTTTTTTTCTGTGTATTAAATGTGCCACTGAATGCAACAGAAAGCAGAGTCTTGTTTTAGAAAAGATTTTAGAAAAGTATTTTTTACTTAACATGCCATCCTAAAAATATATTTTTCAATATTCAGATGTAGAACATTGAGATAAAAAAATAATATTCATCTTTTACTTAAAAAATTCTGAAGCATAGCACCAGTGGACGGTTGCATAAACTGCTTAGATTTAAAAGTTAGACACCTAATTATTTTCTGCAAGACTGGTCATAATTTTTTTTAAGTCAGTTACATAAAAAACGTAGATTGATCTAATTTGAATCTGAAAAGTAAGACTGATAACCACTTGGTTAACTGCTATATATATATATATATATATATAATAAATCTTTGCTTGAAATAAAATAAACTTTAACTGAAAAAATATATATATATCTCATTCACATCTCTCATTTGCATTTAGTTTAACAATAATAATAAAAAACTTGACAAAAAGCAACAAAGTTACAAAAAAACTATTAAAATTACTAAAAATTTAAATGTAATTGGAAAATATAAAAATAAAAAAATTAATTAAAATAAATGAAAACTGCAATACTATCTCAATGAAACTAAAATAACAACAACAGAGTCAAATCTATCAAGCGACGACAGGAGAAAAATGTTTAGTATCCCCTTAAAGAGCCTAAATCAGCATTCAGTTATAGGGACACACACACTGCACCATTTCCTAAGAATATTTTACTGTATATATAGCATATAGAATAATAAAAATGCACACCACTCATATTCAGAAAAGACATGAAAAAGCAGAATGAAAGTTGTCAGAACACTTGAGGATTCAGGTCTAGTTCTGAGCCTGGATCAGTGGCCTGCTGAACACACTCCTCATCCAAAACATGCAAAGGCTGGATGATGTTGTGCATGAGGGAAAATCATCTAGGCCTTTCCCAATGACAGACGCTTCAGCCTTGATTTAATCAGCACCGACTGTTAGACTGAACGTGCCAAGCATTGAAATAGTTCCATAATCATAAACATAATGCACATGCAGGCTGTCTGTGAGCGGTGACCCGAGTCCTCAAGTTACTGTTACCCGAGTTACTGAGTCCTCAAGCCTTCTCTGGCAATCACAGTCATGCTGATAAGAGGTTGTCATGGCGACGGAGGATGCGTTCCAGAATACGATTCTCTTGTTAAAACCCTAATTAAGATGAGATGAATTCGGTAACATAATGGAGATCTGACGCAGGGGGAAATTTCAGAGGATTTGGATTAAAAGCCTGGAGATTGGAGCGCAGAAATCCTTCTCACTTTCACCTGCTTTATATGCTAAGGAAATTCTCATGCTTTCAGAGAGCTGTTCTCATGCAAATACTACTGACCATGCGGAACTCACTCAACCCGTCAGAAAAAAATATTAAAGAAATATTCTTAATTTAACTACGTCAGATACTTGCAATGGTGATCCAAGCACAGAACTGACACATATTAATGAATGAAATGATACTGTAAAGAAGAAACATATTACACAATAAACTAAAAGAAATACGCTGAGTATAATATTACAGAATTAATCAACAGTATTATCAGACTACTATCATTACAGCCAGCTGATTCATAATTGTTTTATTAATGTGGTCTATAAAAACATATTAATAAAATGTATAAATAACATATAAATAAAATGAATACATTTATGATGTAATTTTACCATGGACTGTAAAAAAAAAGAAATGTTTTTAAAAGTAAAGGCAACATGGTTGAGTTTAAGTTTACTTAGTCTCAATTTAACGAAACTAATGCTCATTTAGTTAATTTAATTTCTTCACTATGAAATGCTACACATTTATCAATCATTTGCAAACGTTGCAATATTCACCCTTATATATGAACATATTAGATGTAAAATCACGCTGTCAGTAGCAGAATGCAGTTTCAGCCCTGTCTGTGTAATTGTGTTATTTCACACAGCAGCAGCTACTAATGGGTTGCTTACTTCACTTTCAGGAAAGAGCCTCCTACTGAATCCTGAATCCACTGAAACACCAGTCATATACAGGAAAAATAAAAGATAAAGCAAGCTAGTTACAGCGCTGCTCTTAATCCAGTGTCAGATGTACCAAGTTGTTATCAATGTCAGCCGAAAACTGCTGTTGGTTTCCAGTCATGATTCAGGACAGGAATCACCCTGCAGCCAGAATCTAAAACAATAATGGAGAAAAAGAGACACGCTTATTTCTTTGCATCCCTCTAGTGGCCACATCAGACTCCTGCCGAAGACATATACAGAGGGAGGGAGTCTTAGAGCAAAAGTTCAAATACAAATGTCATATTTATGTCATTCCAAACCTGTATGTGTTTATATTTGCAATGTAAATGAATTTACATGATGTAAAATAATTTGAATGAAGTGAAATAAGCTAAAACAATTTAAAATCAAGATACTACTTATTTTATTTCACCCTCTATATTAATAAAATCTTAAAAATGCATGGGCATTTTCATAATAAATACAAATTTTTCCAGTTAAGCCAAGCTCTAAAATATTTAGGCGAGTAATAAAAAAAATAAAAAATTATCCTTTTCCAGTAAACAACTGGAAAACTCATGCAAATTCATGGCTTCAGGATATTCAGTTCTTAAAACTTCTGGAATCCTGAATAAGATCTAGTGTCCGTGGATTTGAACTGTAAAAAAGTTACATTACATTACAGTAGCTGTAGCAAACATGTTTAATATCAGCCTACGTGACTCACACACCATTAGAAAAACATCACTGTCTTTCCCACCTAATGCATAATTAACCCTCTTCTTCCCTCAGCACACTAATGGCATCCGAAGCACAGATAATCAGACCAATCTCAGAGTCACACAGAGACACAGATTCTTGATTCTCTTCATTCTCTTCAGGCTGAAACACACTTCTTCAGCTCTGACCTGGATTGTTAGGGATACATCAGCGCGTGAGAGCAGAGAATGGACAACACGATAACAACAATTAATATGTGCAGGGCTTTTAACTTCCAAGAAAAGATGAGAAAATTACACAAATAAAAGTTTTCCTTTAATGCACTAAACGCTGTGACAGAAAATGTACACTTAGCTTTCCTCTTCAAGTAGTACATACTACAAACTCTTCAATTGAGCGCAGTCAGAGATGTTTATGATTATATGAGATATCTGTGTTTGTATATTCCAAAAATGAAACAAAACAAATCTGTTATTGTTACAATAAACGTACACTGAAAGGCAAATGAACAGGAGAATTTGCTTTCTGCGTATTAACCATGATAGGATTAAAACATGCTTAAAAACACCTATTACAAACCAATTGCACATGTTTTACTGAAAGTGTAATCTATTAAATGCAAACAAATCATCTAAAATCAGGTCGCTGTGATTTTGTCAAGTAAGACATGTTCCTGGATCAGCATTACTGTCCAAAAATATAGACCTAACCCAATCCCTACCCCTAAACCTAACCCTAACCATTATTTAATCCTAAAATCAGAGGGAAATGATAGGTGAATAACAAGGGTGTAGAAGCATCTAACCCTGATTGTAAACCTAAAACTGGCATTTCTTAAAAACGTATCCCTCAATTCTGATTGGTTGATTAAAATGTTCAACAAGGACGTTGATCCAGGAACATGTTGTACTTGCTGAAATCACATTCACCCTAAAAGGTTCACGTGTGAAGTGTCTGTATAATATATATTATTTCATTAAATTGTAGGGCTAATTTTGTTTATTTTATGGAGAGCTTGGTTAATCAGGCCAATAAGAGACTTAACTGCAAATTTGACTATTTTTAGACAAATGTGTCATTAAAATGTCTACAAATGTATTAAACTGATCCGTGATCAGGTAGAAACCACAGACACGGGATCACGGAGAACATCGCCTCCTACCGGCGAACCACTAACATTTCGAGACGTTTCACGAGTTGTGAGTAAAGCATCGATTACTGTAATCATGTGACTGGCGTTTTGAGACGCGATCCGAATCAATGGTTTGAAACAAATGATTTTAAATATTTTAAATAAATTAATAAATTAAATTAAATTTGAATTTCACTCACCGGAAAAAATGGAGCCCAGACTTCTTGGACAGTCTGTACAATTAACTGCACAGCAAGCCACAGGCCAATAAGAGACTTAACTGCAAATTTGACTATTTTTAGACAAATGTGTCATTAAAATGTCTACAAATGTATTAAACTGATCCGTGATCAGGTAGAAACCACAGACACGGGGTCACGGAGAACATCGCCTCCTACCGGCGAACCACTAACATTTCGAGACGTTTCACGAGTTGTGAGTAAAGCATCGATTACTGTAATCATGTGACTTTGGCGTTTTGAGACGCGATCCGAATCAATGGTTCGAAACAAATGATTTTAAATATTTTAAATAAATTAATAAATTAAATTAAATTTGAATTTCACTCACCGGAAAAAATGGAGCCCAGACTTCTTGGACAGTCTGTACAATTAACTGCACAGCAAGCCATATTATTTAATAACTGAATTAAATAATCCAGAAAAAAGGACAAACATGGCAGAGATGCTCAGTTGAGCGTCTGGAATTAGCTGAGGTGACGTGACGGCTAACAGACAGCAGCGGCAATCCACCTGTCACTCAAGTGGCCACGCCCTTAATTATGCAGAACCTAATATAATTTAAATGGATGAGATGTAAAAAAAATTCACCCCCCTCACAGCTGTCATGAAAGGCAAAATTAGCTATATAGACCAAAACCACTTTTTGTACCAGGCTGTAAACATATTTTTTTCTGCTGTAAAGTTGGGCATTTAAAGGGGTCATATGATGTTGCTAAAAAGAACATTATGTTGTGTATTTGGTGTAATGCAATGTGTTTATGCGGTTTAAGGTTAAAAAAACACA